GAGGCCGAGGCGGGGGCGGGGCGAAGGGGCGGGGCCTGTGTTGCGCCCGAGGGTGGGGCCCACGCGGAAGCGAATAGCAGGAACGCGGCTCACGGCAAGGGGCGGGGCTTACAGTGGCCGCCGGGGAGGGGCGGGACGAAAGCAGAAGCTGGTAAGGACGACTGGCTGGAGCTGCACTCAAAATAGGGGCGGGGCGAGCTGTGGGCGGAGCAGAGGCTTCTGGCGGGACGCTGCATGTGACGCTTAGAGTGTGCTTCGGGCCTGTGAGCTGCGCGGTTGTCTACATCTTCGTGGCTTGAGAGCTACTGGACGCCCCAGGGCGCCGTCCGGGTTCGGTCCCAGTCTCCAAGAGGTTGGGACGGGTTTTCCCTGCCTGCACAGCTGCAGTGCGACCCCTGGACCTGGACTGGACCGGGCTGAGGTACCCGCTTGATCTGTTTGCCGAGGGGGGCCTGGAAGATGGAAAGCTTTGGTGTTCGGCAAATTGAGTGGGTGTGTGTGTGTACAGATGTAAGATTCTTTTTCGGAAGAGATCAGTTAATTCCCTCCTCCCCGTTCCCGGTTAAGAAAGAAGTGTGGCATGTTAGGAAGAGGTCCTTCTGGGTGTGGTAGATTTCTTCTTTTTCTTTTTCTTTTTGAGACAGTGTCTCACTATGCAGTTCAGGCTGACCTTGAACTCCCCATGTAGTCCAAGCGTGGCCTTGAATTTGCAGTGATCCTCCTGCCTCAGCCTCCTGAGTGCTGGTATTGCTGGTGTGCGCCATCACCCCCAGCTCATGGTGGATATTTTACACTCTTTCCCTGACCTAGTATTGAGGGTAGTGGCTGACTTAACGTTTCTGAATTTGTTGGGAAACAGGTTTTGGGTTACTTGCCTGGAGTTTAGGCAGCAGGAGGTTTGGCCTGTGCTTCAGCCTGATGGCTCTGCCAGCCCAGGTGTCATCAGAGGGTGTCACCCGCAGCAGACACTTAGTGCCATTGTGTGCTCACCCGCCCTGTGACATCGTTCGTGACATCATTTGATCGCCACTCTGGCGTTAGCTCTGGAGTGTGTCAAGGCAGGGCTGTCAGTGGAAAGTGCTTGCTGGCCAAGTGCAGTCTTACAGCAGAGTTGTTGTGAGCGGTCCTGGAAGTCCTGGCCTAGGCAGAGCCTGGGTGCTCTGTGGTGCAGGCGCTGGTGCAGACCTGTGCTGGTGTCAGGCCTTCCCTGTCCCCCATGCACTGAGGAGCCATGGCAATTCTCGCCTTTAGGTGGACATCATGGACATCTGTGAGTCCATCCTGGAGAGGAAGTGGCACGACAGCGAGAGGTCTGCATGTAGCATCTTGGAGCAGACGGACATGGAGGCCGTTGAGGCTCTTGTGTGCATGAGTTCCTGGGGTCAGAGAGCCCAGAAAGGCGACCTGCTGAAGATAAGACCCCTCACGCCTGTCTCTGACTCCGGCGACATGGCTGTCACTGTGCTTGTGGACACAGCGCCCGAGCTACCAAAGGACTTTCATTCTATCTCAGCGCTGGTAAGAGGAGGGAATGGCGTTTCTGGCAGAGGTCAGGAGCGTAGAAATGCTCCGAAGAGCGCGGTGTGAGGCTCAGGGTGCCTCCGCATGTGGGTTCCAGGAGCTGAAAGGCTTCCTTGGTTTCTGGTGACCCTGCTCCTGCTTGTGTGGGGCGGAAGTGCAGGCGGACCCCAGTACAGCCCTTATTTGTCTTTAACTTGTGGCCGCTGTGACTGACCCGGGCTGGAGGTGGCGTGTGCAAGCGTGTGGAGCTAGGGCTGGGACACTGGAGCCGGGAATGTCTCGGCCTCGCTTCTTCCCCGGGGGACCATCGGGGACAAGGGTGGAGCAGAACCACTAAGTCTTGGCAAGAGGTGGACAGCAGGTGCTCCTCGAGGTCTTGAGAGCTGCAGGGGTGGGGCGGACTCAGATCGGTCTCTGCTAGATGCATTTGAAGGGAGCAGGCATGGGGATCGAGTAGATGCCTTTGAAGTTTAACCCGTGTGGCCCGTCACATGGCCCATCACACAGCGCCTTGTCTTGCAGTGCATGACACCTCCTCAGAGCCCGGACCTCATGGAGCCGCTGCCAGGGGCGCCGGGCCCTCCCCAGGCAACCCGTCCCAAAGCACGCTCTGAGCCGGCCCCCGCCTCAGCAGCCACGGCCCTGAGCAAGAGAGCAGAGCGAGAATCGCCAGGACACAAGCCCGAGCTGCTGGCGCCCGGTCGCCCCTGCAGGGCCGTGGTGACCAGTGTGATTAGACACACGGGGGAGCGTCCTGTTGGCACCGGCTCCCCCGCTGCACAGCCCGGAGGAGGAGGACAGCCGGCTAGGGCCGTGATCGGGGTGGGAGAGGCGTGGTTTCCGGGCCTGTCTGAAGCCCTGCAGGATGTGCACCTCCAGGACAGCTTCCTCCGCACCAGCTCCACTTCCTGCCAGCCTTGCTCGAACAAGCCTGGTGGCCCTCTCCCCGCAGACACAGGCCAGCAGCTGGGGTGGCCCGCCCTGGAGGCCTGCTCACCGAAGAGTCCCAACAGTGGCCCGCCAAGGAAGAGCAGCCCCCAGCCAGGCCCTTTGGTCTCCATGCCTGTTTCCAGCCCCCCTGTCCTCTGCCAGATGATCCCTGTGCCCGGGCAGGCTGGGGTGTTGCCGGCTTTCCTCAGGCCTCCTGTGCCGATGCCCTCGGGGCCTGGCAAGCCTATCCTGCCCCAAGCCTCACCTGCACCCGCACCCCAGCCCGTGTTTGTGGGCCCACCCGTGCCCGTCCCAGTCCCCGTGCCTGTGCCGCAGGGAGCCGTGATGCTGGTCCTGCCCCCAGCTGCCAGCTGCCCGCCCAACGTCGTGGCTGTGGGCGGCACCAAGCTGCTGCCCCTTGCCCCCGCGCCCATGTTCTTCGCCTCCAGCCAAAGCTGTGCCCCTCAGGCCGACTTCTCTCGGAGGAGAAACTACATGTGCGACTTCCCGGGCTGCCGCAAGACCTACTTCAAGAGCTCCCACCTCAAGGCTCACCTGCGCACGCACACTGGTAGGTGCAGCCAGGCTACCGAAGGGCCCAGGGCGTGTTTGGGGTACAGGGCTGGGCCTTGGGCAGCTCGCAGGCCCCATGCAGTGCCAGCGCCTCCTTGTACACTCTGCCGAAGCTTGCTGTGTGTTTTAGAAAACGCACGTTGACACTTGGTAAAGGCGTCTGTGACCTGCAGGCCAAGTCTTCCAGACTCAGAAGGCTGGGTTCCAGACAGGGAGAGCATGCACGGTGGCGCCTCGGCTCACAGAGTTTTCTCTGAGATCCTGCGCACAAACCGAGGTGGACGAGACCAGAGTCGAGCTCAGTGGCGTGGTGCCATGTTGACCTTGTGGGAAATGTGGTTTGGTTCTTGCAGTTCCATTTGCAACCAGAAAGGTGGAGAGAATCAAGTTTGTGAGCTGAGCTGCTGCTGTAGGCTTTTTTTTGAGAATGTAGAGTCTTGAATTGAGACAAAGTCAGTGATACAGGAGGCTGTGAGGCCCGAACCAGCTCCTCGTCCACCCTGGAGATTGTTACGTCTTCCTCGGTGAGGGAGACCCTCTGTCCTGTGAGATGGCCACACACCCTTGGGACGGAGCTGGTGCTCGTCTGTGGGAATGGAGCTCACTGTTAAGTAGCTCTCGAGTGGCGCTTTCTAGCGGGCCTGGCAGGTCAGTGTGAGGCCAGGATATGCAGAGAGACGTGGCTCGGCTTTCACAGGACTTTCCGTGGTGGCGACAGAGCTGATGGCCAAGCCTTTGCTTTCCTCCCACGGCCACCCCTGCAATGGCCCCAGCCCACAGACGGTGGCCTTGCTGTCGGTCCTGGCCACAGACCCACGTCCCAGGCCACTCATTTCCATCATGGGTGCTGGGGACAGGTCTGGCCAGAGCAGCAACCTCCTGTGCTGAGCGGCTCTTGAGACCCGTGAGACTTCATCCGAGTCAGTGTCTCACAGGCACCGCGAGTGTGCGCTGACTCCACTGTGGGAAGTGCGGCACAAAGGCAGGTGCATGAGACCGTGAACCCGCAGAAGTCTGCTCTGTACTGGGGCCTTCAGGCAGTGAGTAGGGCTTTGGGGTGCAAGGCGGTGACTCTGTGGCTGGAGAGGCCCTGGGGACACTTGCAGGGGAGACTGCCTGGTGCTCAGAAACTTTTTTTTTTTTGCCTTTTTGAGACAGGGTTTCACTATGCAGTTCTGGCTGGCCTTGAGCTCACTTTGTAGCCCAGGCTGGTCTTGAACTCGCAATGATAATGATCCTTCCGCCTCAGCCCCCATCCCCCAGCCCCGAGAGCTGGGATTACAGGTATGTACCACCACGCCGGGCTGTTTTTTTTGGTTTTTGAGACGGGGTCTCACTTACGTAGCTCAGCGTGGCTTTCAACCTGCTGCAGTCCTCCTCCCTCGGCCTCCCAAATGCTGGGATTACAGGCATGTGCCACCTGTAGACTAGGTTAGTTTGACATTTTGGAGCTTTGGCATTTTATATCTTAGGTGTGGTAGGAAAAAATGGATGTTGCATGACTTCTTGACTTCTGAATCACCGAACACCCAAACAGCAGGGATTTCAGTAAAACAGAATTGTCAAATGGCTGGAACTCACCTGGCCGTGGTGTACGCGCGGGCTTCCTCACTGCGCTTTCTCGTCCCCAGGGGAGAAGCCTTTCAGCTGCAGCTGGGCCGGCTGTGAGAAGAAGTTCGCCCGCTCGGATGAACTGTCGCGCCACCGGCGCACGCACACAGGGGAGAAGAAGTTCGCCTGCCCCGTGTGCGAGCGGCGCTTCATGCGCAGCGACCACCTGACCAAGCATGCGCGGCGCCATATGAGCACCAAGAGGGTCCCAGGCTGGCAGGCGGAGGTGGGCAAGCTGAACGGGGGCGCAGTGGCCGAGGGCCCGGCCAGCCCCGAGGTGCCCCCACCCGCCTCACCCTGACTACCTGCTCCGAAGGGTCCCGGTCCTGTGTGGTCCCGTCTGGTCCCATGAGCCCGGTCCCAGCCGCCGCCCCTTCCAAGGCCCATGCCACTGCGGGCGGGTCAGGCCGGCACGAGCCAGTTCTGACAAGAGTTGTTCACTTCTTTTCTGTTTGGGACCCTGTTCCGCATCCTTTGCAGTTTCACAGTTTCTTTCTGTTTAAGGAAATGGGGAAGATTGATAATCTGAATCACCAGCATTCACACACCATTTTGGCAGTAAAGTTTACACAATCTGGATTTTTACAACCTTTTTATTCATGTTTTGTAGAGATAAGACAGGGTACTAATTTTATACTGTTTTTTATAAAAATATTTATATTGTTGGTGCTCATATCACCAGTTTCTAGATAGATCATATCCAGCCTTCTTTTTCGTGTTTAATAACAGAGTTTTATGCTGACCCTGCTTTTAGTCAGTGTGGGACATAAATCAGAAAAGAATCCCGAGTTCGCAGCCAGGCCTTCCTGTGCCCAGCGTTTGGAGTGGGAACTGGGTGGCGGAGGGCCTCTTGGAGAGCAGGGAAGGCCGGGTCCTGCCGCCCTGGAGGTGGGGCCCCCGGAGTGCTGGGGTGCTGATGTCTGGCTGAGGAAGAGCAGTTTGTGCCCCAGGTGCCGCACTCAGCCCACCGCCTGGTTGCGTGTCCGCTGCCTCTTGATGTGGCCCCACCCGATCTCTAGCAGGGCAGCTGCGCAGAAAGCAGGCACCCTGTGGTGGGACAGGCTGGCAGAGCTCAGCTCTCGGGAAGCCGGGAGCTCCGGTTCCGGTTCCGGTTCCCACAGGGATCCCTTCACTGGGTGTGAAGACTGTAGGGAGCTTGTAGGCTGCTGCCACCGCTGCCGCTGCTGCTGGGCTCTATCAGGAGTGGAAGAGTGAGAATGCTGCCCTGCTTCAGTGCTGCAGCAGGGTGTGTTATGTGCACTACGCAGGATGTGTTATGTGTTTAGCTGTTGGCTTTGCCTTCCGGTGAGCGCAGGGGAACTGCTGGCTGATGGACTAAAGGTGGGAGTCGCCTTCAGGTCTGTGCAGTCTGCAGTGGTCCTTGCCGAGTCATTCAGTGTTACCCGATGCCCACTGAGTTGCACCATCCTATCAGCTGCTTTTCACCCCGTGTGCGTGCGTGCGTGCGTGTGTGCTTGCGTGCCGTTGCAGGTTCCCGCACCCTGGACAGTTTCGTAGTTATGTGTTCCTAGAGCTTTGGGAAAACCGTACTGTGCAGAGCGCCTGTATCCCCACTGCCAGTCCCCTCCCCTCACCCGAGGCTGGTGTGGCCACTGGCTGCTGTGTGTTGCCTTGGCTGGGATCTGTGGCAGGGGACAGCGGCTGTGCCGGCTCCACTCTCCTCACGGTCCTTTCTCAGTGAATGGGCCGGAAATCGTTTTGAGTTTCAGCTCCCACTCCCTGATTGACGGAGGGCGCTTGCTGTACGCAGCCTGTTTGCCTGTTGAGAGGTCGCAGGTTGGAAAACAGCTCCCATCTGGCAACTGGGAGCGGACTCAGGCCTGCTGCCGCCTGCTGCCGCGCCTGCCCTTGGGCCCATGCACTTTACCCCCCAGCGGGTTTGCTTGGTCTTTTTTGACTTTGAGCCTTTAAAGTAGTCTTAGTGATAAAATTTAAAATGTTTCATAATTATGTTTTATGTAACAGATTACAGCTTATTATTTAAACGAATATGTGTAATGTAACTTTTTTCTTTAAATGATATAAAATTTTCTTGATTTGCAAACTGGACTTGTGTCCCACGTCCTTTCACTGCTGCCTGGTCGGTGACTGGCGGCCTGGGCTCTCCCTGGGTTCCCGGAGCGTCTGTCCCTGCACCCCCGTGAGCACGTCCGTGTAGGACTGCGGCTTGTCCGCGGGCTGTGGGGACACGCTGTGCTGTGGTTAGGACAGGGCCCCATGTGCAGGATGGCCCTGTGGCTGTTGGGCTCATCCCCCCTGTGGTGGGCACCTTGGGAAGAGGTCCTCAGGGTCCCTCTTTCACACTGCCTCACTCCACCCCCTACCCAGGGCTGGGCACTGTATCGTGGGCTGGCAGAGACTGCAAGATCACGTACTCCAGCACTCTGGGAGGCTGAGGCAGGAGGATGGCTAGTGTTAGCCCAGCCTGGGCAGCCTGGCAAATAATGAGACCCTGTTTGGGAATAAAAATAAAAAGGGCTGGGCTGTAGCTCAGTGTGAAGGCCTTGGGTCCATTCTCCAAAGCCACCAAAGCAAACACCCATCGCGATCTGTCTTCCCCTGTGCTGCCCCTGAGCTCATGTGGCTTTGTGCCTGGTACCCCAGGAGGAGCCCCTGTGGGTTCACCACAGGCTGGGGGTAGGGCTCAGACCTTGGCTGCCCCATGCTGGGCCCTCAGCTCTTGATCACTAGCTGCTGGGGCGTGGAGCTCCACCTTGCACTGCCAGGCTCCCTGGGGGACTTGTCCCACCATGTGACTTCGATTTTTAAAATCTCAGTTAGAAGGATCCTTAAGGTTTTTTCGTTTGTTTTTTAAAAAACAGTAGGAAAACTTATTGGGGAATAGGAATGGGGATAGGAATAGCTCCTGAGAGACAGGAGGGGTCCCAAATGGGTTGCCCTTTTTCCGTTTTTTGTTTTTTGGTTTTTTTTTTGAGACAGGGTCATACTGTGTAGTGTAGAGTGGGCTTGAACTTTTAATCCTCCTGCCTCAGCCTCTTCGGTGCTGGGATTACAAGCGGCACCACCGGTCTTGGTTTCTCCGACTGTCCACTTAAGGTCTGTCCAGCCAGCACTGAGACTCAGGGCCGAGTTTCCCACACTTGCTCTGCTTCCCTTCACCTCGTGTCCTACTGGTCCAGGCCAAGACCTTGGGTCCCTGAGCCCTCTCCCCGCATCCAGTGTCTCAGACCCTGGCTCCTTTCAGAACATCCAGGGCCTGAGCCCAGTTTCCTGCGGCCACCGTGTGACTGGCCTGGCCACCATCACATCACTTGGACCTGCGCCAGCCCTTCCTGTTTTGCAGCTTCTCTGGGACCCCTCAATCTGCTCAGCAGCCTCTGCAGTCCCTGGAACATCAGGTCAGCCAGGTGTGGTCCCAGCACTCTGGGAGGCTGAGCCACGAGGGTCACAGATGTACGAGCCCAGCCTGGACAATGTAGTAACGCCCTGTCTGAAAAGAAATAAAAGGATGTAGCCCAGTGAAAAGGCTCCAGGCTCAATCCCCACCCACAGAAAAGAAAGAGAAAAAACAAACCTCTGAGAACATGCGGTGCTGCTCCCACAGGATCTCCTTTACTCATTTATTTATTCTCTTGCTTTGGGCCAGGGTCTTACAATCTAGTCCAGCCTGGCCTTGAACTCTTGGTGATCCTCCTGCCTCAGCCTTCTCAGCTCTGGGATCAGAGGTGTGTGTCACCACACCTGGTTCAAGAAATAAAAATTCAACAACTTTATTTATTTTTCAACTTCCTTTAAAGTCAGTGTTTGTATTATTAAAATAGCAGTGGCTTTCTTCTGTCAAAAGGGGTGCTTTGGGCTCAGGAGCCCTGGAGCTTTGATCAAAGCCACTCTCGTCCTGGTCATGGAAGTTCACAGCGCGCATGACTGCTGGTGACCACCGAAGGCAGTGAGGAGGGGACATCTGGGCGAGGGTTGTGTCCTGGGTGCTGCCGGGAAAGGCCCCCTCCAGAGGGCGCTCGCTTCAGCAGAAGCCACTCTAGAGGGCGCAGCGACACATGACCGCAGTCCTGGCCCTCAGGAGTCTGTACCCCCTGGACAGTGGTGACAGAAGAAGAGGGTCCCCAGCTCCTGATGGTGTGGAGGGCCACGTGCCTGTCCCCAGGGCCATCAGCTACTGCATGCGTGTGAATCCGCACAGGTTGCTTGGAGCAGGTCCCGGGAGGTGGCTGCACTCCACTGATCCTGGCTGGGAACAGGACAACCAGGGCGGCCGCCACACGCAGCCTCAGCAGCCGTACTCCCTCTCAATGCTGGCCATCAGCTCCTCCTCTGCGCGATCATAGGAGATGGACGATTGCCTTGTGGGCTTGGGGCTCTCGCCTGGGGCTCTGTGGATGAGAAACGACAGGGTGAGATGTCCCCGTCACACTGGCATCTGACTGCCAAATGCCATGTCTGTGGTGGCTCCATCCTAAAACCCACACTGACCAGGCATGGTGGCACATGCTTGTCATTCCACTTGGGAGGCTGAGGCAGGAGGATCTCCAAGAATTCAAGGGCCAGCCTAGTCTATACAGTAAGTTCAAGAGACTTTTTTTACAATGTTCTGGCCCTCCAGCCATGGGCACATTCTTTCTCATGTTCCCACAGGGAAGATGGGAAGTGCCCTCTCCATCCTGGGACCTGCCACAGTGGGTGAAGACGGGGCCTCTAGAATCCCCACGGCCAGCTTCCAGTGCAAAGCTCAGGCCCAGGCCAGCCCTGCAGGGCAGCTCCAGGAACGGGGTCCCCTGGCTGCTGGCTGTCCCTGCTACTTCGGGACCCCTCCTCAGGCGGGAGTGCAGACCCGGCAGGAGATGTCAGGCTGAGACTGAGTTCGAGTTCATATTCTTCCCAAGGCCAGCTCCAAAACCTGGTCACTGGGGCCGCCCTGTGAGGACCAAGGCTGCCTCTGCCTTCTGGAGGTGCAAGGGAGGGACAGGCAGGCTGGGAGTGACGGCACTGTGGTCAAAGGAGAGGTGGAGGTGGTGCTTGAGGAGGGGACACTGCCTCGCCTTTGAGGGCTTCAGTATCTTATCATGAAAGAGCACACAGTTACAGAGAGGTTGAAATTGTGGACCCGGCAAGTGTGACAATGGCAGAGATGTGACAAAGTGCTGTTTGACTTTGTCACATAGCTGTCAGCTGTTTATCTGAGGTGTTTTGTTTTTTGTTTTGTTTAGGGTTTTTTGGTACTGGGATCGAACCTAGGCTTATCCTGAGCTATGTTCCCAGACTTTTTTTTCCCCTTTTTTTTTTGAGACAGGGTCTTGCCATGTAGTACAGACCAGTCTTAAACTCACTATGTTTTTGTTTTTTGGTCTTTTTGAGACAGGGTCTCGCTCTGCAGTTGAGACTGGCCTTGAGCTCACTTGGTAGCCAAGCCTGGTCTCGAACTTGCGCCGATCCTCCTGCCTCGGCTTCCTGGTCTTCTGGTCTCCTGAGTGCTGAGATTATACGAGTGCGCCATCACACCCAGCCCTGGCTGGCCCTGTTTTGATTTTTCATTTTGAAACAGGATCTTACTAAATCATAAATTGCCCAGGCTGGGCTCTATGTGTGACCCTCCTGCCTCAGCCTCCCAAAGAGAGATTCTGAAGGAATTAGCAAGGGCAGGGTGTGGCTGGAGAGGGTGGGGTGCCAGGGCCATAGATCATGACCTATCTAGGAGGAGATGGGAGCTGGGAGCTGGAGTGGGGAGGCCTCTATGACTTCTGGGACCTGGGACTTGCCCTGGGTTGAGCTCTACGCACATAGCTGCAGCTGGAGAACGAGTTCAGACCTGCAGGACTGTGCCAGGCAGGGTACTAGAGGTAAGGGCTGGGTGACGGGGTCCACAATGGCATGCTTTGCCACTGGGCTTGGTGGCACACTCGGGAGGCTGAGGCAGGAGGGTTGCCTCCTAAGTGCTGGGATTACAGCTGTGAGTCACTAGCCTGGTTTAGGAAGATACTTTTGAGCTGCTGACATTACAAAATGGCCTCTGTGAGAAAGGGAAAATGTCCACATGTGAGGTCACCTTAGTTCTCACGGCCCAGGGGAACCTGTGGGAACCTATGGGACCTCCCCAGGTGGGGCCGGGATGCCCCCACCCTGCCTTACAATGAGTGCCGCCCGGTGTCAGCTCCGGGATCTTTTCTCAAAGTGCTGAGGACCAAGAGGCCAGGTGCTGCCTGCGCCTACAGCGTCAGTGGAGACCCGAGGCCCGGAGCTGTGTCCCCTCCTCTGCACTTACTCAGAGACTCCGCTGTGCTCTGGGGCGTCCTCAGTCTGCGGGCCTGGGGCCACCTGGAGAAAGAGAAAGGAAGAGGCAGCTGGAGAGGGTCAACAGCAGGCCAGTGGCACACGTCTGTCATCCTAGCACTCTGGGAGGCTGAGGCAGGAGGATCACAAGTTTGATGGCTGACAGGGAAACTTAGCAAGAATGAAAATACAAACTAGGGCCGGGGATATAGCTCAGTGGTGCAAGCGCTTGCCTGGCAAGCACAAGGCCCTGGGTTCGATTCCTGGTACCAAAAGAAAATACAAACTAAACAGGGCTGGGGCACAGCTCGGTGTGAACGCCCTGGGCTCAGGCCTCAGAACAACAGGAAGACAACATCCAGCCCAGGGGCACTGAGTGCATTTACGCGCTGTGCAGCCATCACCCCACCCACGCACAGGTGCCCTGGCCTTGCCGAACACCCTTGGTACCCACGAAGCACTCCCTCCAGCCCTCCCGGCCCGGGTGACTACCGTGCTACTTCCCATCTGTCTCACACTGTGTTAAGCACCTTGTATGTGAGTGGTCACACAGTATTTCTCCTTGATTTTTAATTTTTTTTTGAGAGAACCTTGCTATGTAGCCCAGGCTGGCCTTAAACTCCTGGCAACCCTCCTGCCTCAGCCTCCTGAGCACTGGGGTAACAGGCATGTGCCAGCCAACAAGTCTACTTTTCTAAGGCTATCTCTCTGTGAAACCCAGGTTTATTCGTGTGGTTGGCTGTAACGTTCTTTTGTCGAACTTGAGGGCACACAGCGAGAACACTGTAACAGACTTCCTGACGCCTAATCCCCCAGTTGGCCACCAGAGGGCGCTGCGCCCCACAGCGGTCGGGCTCCCAGCCCGCGGCTGACAGGGCTGCTGGGAAATGTCCCCGGGGTGCCACTGCCAGGGAGGCCCCTGCCCATCCGAGCGCCTTCCTTTGGGGAGCCGCCCCCACGGCCACAGAGCGGCACAACGCCCAGCTAGTAGAATCCTCCTCCGTCCTTGCCTACCCGCTGCCCATGCACCGGCCACCACCGGCCATCACCGGCTGTCCCCACCCCTGTCCCCTGCCCACCCGGCTGACGCCCAAGAGCCCCGCACCGGCCGCTCCAGCCACGCTGTGCCGGCCCTGTCATCGCCAGCACCTGGACCGAAGTCCCACCTGGCCGGCGCCCAAGCAGTCACCAAGGCACGCCGCGAGGGGGCGCCCGCGCTCCTGCGGGTTTGCCCGCCAGCTCGGGGCCGCGCTCCCGCCGGGCCGGTCCCCGCGACCCAGCGCGAGGCTGGGGCGAGCCGGCCGCGGAGCGACCTTGCTGCGGCGTTCGTCCTTTCTGTGTTTTGAGGCGGTCTCACTGCGCCCCGGGCCGTCCGCCGACCTCAGCCTCCCGAGCGCAGGGTGGCGGGCGTGCGGCGCCGCCGCCTTATAATTTGGCTTTGCTTCACGCTTTTCCTTTGGGGACAGGGGAGCCTGTGCCCTGTGGGGCTTTGTAGGTGGCCGGTGACCACGACCCTCCGCCCCCGTGCCGAGCAGACCCGGGTCCCGGGGCAGCCGCTCGGAGGCTCCCGCTGGTCGGCTCGGCCGGGGCGGGGCGGCCACGCGAAGGCTGCC